CAAGTTGACAATTTCGAAAATAGTCGTGATGAAATAAAAAAAAATTAAATTACAGAAATAAAACATATTCCAGAACATGTTGAAAAACCAAATCTGCCAAAATGCATCTTACAAATTTCTTCTACAAAAAGAAAGAAATGAGACAATACCATTTCTTTTAAAAAGTCCTAGAAACAGCTCAGACTTTTAACCACCAGATCTAAAAACAGATTTCTTAAGCAAATCAAGCGCAGAATTAAACATCATAAATATATACATGGAAAGAAATTCATATTTTTATACAGAAAAAAATATAGCCATTCTAATAGCCGCAAAGCTAAAAATTAGAAACAATTTTTCAAGATCAAACTCAAACAACGGTAATTGTTCTAGATACAGAATTAATCGATCATACTCAAATAATCGAAACAGAAACTGCTCTATTGACCGTTACTGAAATGAATCAAAGAAATGCAAGAGAAATTACTCAAATGACTATTCGAAAAAACTCAAATAGTAATTAAAATATCAAAAGTTATAATTCAGGATCACCAGAAAAATCCGATAATTAAGGAATAAAAAATATTGCTATCAAAATAGATTATCAACGAACTTTTCAAAATCACCATATTAGAATATTTTTCAAAAACCAAGCAGAAAAAGTCGAAATTAAAGACTTCTTAGACCAAAACCTCAACAACAAATCAATCACGTACAAACTACAACCGAAACAACTCCTAGCCCACCAGGAATTGAAAGTACTAAACCATATATAAGGTGATAGCACAGATGATGAAAATGAAACCCAAAGCACGCAAACGATCAAAATTTTAAAAATTAAACACGATTATTAGAACCCCGTTCACTCAGACCATTGTCAAGTTGACAATTTCGAAAATAGTCGTGATGAAATAAAAAAAAATTAAATTACAGAAATAAAACATATTCCAGAACATGTTGAAAAACCAAATCTGCCAAAATGCATCTTACAAATTTCTTCCACAAAAAGAAAGAAATGAGACAATACCATTTCTTTTAAAAAGTCCTAGAAACAGCTCAGACTTTTAACCACCAGATCTAAAAACAGATTTCTTAAGCAAATCAAGCGCAGAATTAAACATCATAAATATATACATGGAAAGAAATTCATATTTTTATACAGAAAAAAATATAGCCATTCTAATAGCCGCAAAGCTAAAAATTAGAAACAATTTTTCAAGATCAAACTCAAACAACGGTAATTGTTCTAGATACAGAATTAATCGATCATACTCAAATAATCGAAACAGAAACTGCTCTATTGACCGTTACTGAAATGAATCAAAGAAATGCAAGAGAAATTACTCAAATGACTATTCGAAAAAACTCAAATAGTAATTAAAATATCAAAAGTTATAATTCAGGATCACCAGAAAAATCCGATAATTAAGGAATAAAAAATATTGCTATCAAAATAGATTATCAACGAACTTTTCAAAATCACCATATTAGAATATTTTTCAAAAACCAAGCAGAAAAAGTCGAAATTAAAGACTTCTTAGACCAAAACCTCAACAACAAATCAATCACGTACAAACTACAACCGAAACAACTCCTAGCCCACCAGGAATTGAAAGTACTAAACCATATATAAGGTGATAGCACAGATGATGAAAATGAAACCCAAAGCACGCAAACGATCAAAATTTTAAAAATTAAACACGATTATTAGAACCCCGTTCACTCAGACCATTGTCAAGTTGACAATTTCGAAAATAGTCGTGATGAAATAAAAAAAAATTAAATTACAGAAATAAAACATATTCCAGAACATGTTGAAAAACCAAATCTGCCAAAATGCATCTTACAAATTTCTTCCACAAAAAGAAAGAAATGAGACAATACCATTTCTTTTAAAAAGTCCTAGAAACAGCTCAGACTTTTAACCACCAGATCTAAAAACAGATTTCTTAAGCAAATCAAGCGCAGAATTAAACATCATAAATATATACATGGAAAGAAATTCATATTTTTATACAGAAAAAAATATAGCCATTCTAATAGCCGCAAAGCTAAAAATTAGAAACAATTTTTCAAGATCAAACTCAAACAACGGTAATTGTTCTAGATACAGAATTAATCGATCATACTCAAATAATCGAAACAGAAACTGCTCTATTGACCGTTACTGAAATGAATCAAAGAAATGCAAGAGAAATTACTCAAATGACTATTCGAAAAAACTCAAATAGTAATTAAAATATCAAAAGTTATAATTCAGGATCACCAGAAAAATCCGATAATTAAGGAATAAAAAATATTGCTATCAAAATAGATTATCAACGAACTTTTCAAAATCACCATATTAGAATATTTTTCAAAAACCAAGCAGAAAAAGTCGAAATTAAAGACTTCTTAGACCAAAACCTCAACAACAAATCAATCACGTACAAACTACAACCGAAACAACTCCTAGCCCACCAGGAATTGAAAGTACTAAACCATATATAAGGTGATAGCACAGATGATGAAAATGAAACCCAAAGCACGCAAACGATCAAAATTTTAAAAATTAAACACGATTATTAGAACCCCGTTCACTCAGACCATTGTCAAGTTGACAATTTCGAAAATAGTCGTGATGAAATAAAAAAAAATTAAATTACAGAAATAAAACATATTCCAGAACATGTTGAAAAACCAAATCTGCCAAAATGCATCTTACAAATTTCTTCTACAAAAAGAAAGAAATGAGACAATACCATTTCTTTTAAAAAGTCCTAGAAACAGCTCAGACTTTTAACCACCAGATCTAAAAACAGATTTCTTAAGCAAATCAAGCGCAGAATTAAACATCATAAATATATACATGGAAAGAAATTCTTTCATCCCACTCGAACATGAAACTTCAAGGTACATCAACTATTTTAGCTACAGCGCAAGAAACAATTTTAAAAATAATGGTAAAATTTAACTAAACGATTGAAAGCATGGAACCAAAAAATTTCTTATAAATCCATTCGAAGATATCTATATTTTTTCAGATATCAAACATAATCTAGTAGGAATACGACTTACTACTAAAAATAATTATTCAACAATTACCAACAATTATTCTATTAGATAGCAAGTTACAAATCAAAGATAAATATAAACAAAAACAAAATGGTTCACTTATAAAGATTACACAAACAACCTTCAGTTTTTTCGAAGTTTCATCACATAAATAACAAACAATCATGTCATGGCAAAAATCTAAGTTTCAACTGATCAAATATTGTTGACTTGTTATGATTCTGGAATGATTGAACAATTACTCAAATTCGACACATCTGGACATCTAAAAGCGCTGAAAAGCTTGTTGCAATAATCAATTTTTAGTTTTAATGACAGTGTTTAGTGACATGATATACTTTTTTGCAAATTTTTCAATCAAAATTACACTCTTGTAAAGCGTCAGCTAAATTCATTCAAAATGAAGGTCAAAAACTGGATCAGTTTAGTTTGTCATACATCAAACAAATTTTTCCTGTCCTTTCTTTTGAATCAAAAATTGACCAGATTTTAAAGTTTAATTTTGGTTTGAAATAATGCATTGTACCTTGTTCCGTAAAAAAGCCGGTAAAACAATAATTTTTTTCGTTGTTTGCTATAAGTAAAAGGAACTTAAATAAAATCATGTTACACATTTTTCTTTGACAATTTTATCCTGTTATCCTAAATTACTACGGTAATAGTTGGTTCAGCAGAAAATAAACAGTGAAAATTCTATAACGTGCAAAAACATGCGTGAACAAAAAAAATCCACTTAACTGATGTTTTTCATCAGAATTCGGGATGTTTTTGCTGCTATTCGGTTGAAGATAAAATTGAGTAGTGGGTTATTAGTGGGACAATGCTTGATTTTGAGGCAGTTTGTAAAGGTTAACAGTTCTTTTTTTTTGAAAAAAAATAATTGTTGTCTGAATTACTGAGAATAACTTTTCTTGAAAATTAATGAATAAAAAAATGCCTCAACATGGTTGAAAAAATAAGGTCATTATTTTAAGAAATTTATTTAGGTCAAAAATGCCCGAAGATTTTGGTAACTAGCAGTTGGTTTTTGTTTCAGAACCTGACGAAAAATTGTTTAACAGATTGTAGAATCCTAACCACAACAAATTTATTAAACTTTTGGCACATTTAATACATGACGGGACGCTTACTGAAAGTTTTAAAAAATAATATTTGTGGTCTGTCAATCTGAGTTTTATTTGAGATAAGTTCTAAAATCTTTACCGAATTTTTACCTCGTTCCATTTGAATTTTGAGATTTTAGTAGAATACTTCGGCTAATCACATTTTTTTACTTTTTAAAAATTCTCAATGATAAAAACTAGAAAAAAATTGTAGCTTAGAATTAAAATGGTACTATGTTTTTTTTTCTTTTTCTCATCTGTGCACATCCAAGAGCTTAGTTGGTTGCGCAAAATTTGCTTTTAATCTTGTTTAAAACTGTAAAATCAAACATAATTAACTGCAAATCTGCAAACTGCACCCTGAAGATTTTCTTCGTGATTGGAACTGCAAATCTGCAAGCGGCAATTCTGGTGGCAAATTAGTCGTTTGTGTTTTTTAAGTTGTGTCATTTTTTTCTGTTCAATTTTCTGTTGTTTCAACTGCTACTTGCCCACACACACAAAACAAGCCGATAAGTTCATGTTATGTAGCAGTAAAAGCTGTTGATTGACTAATTCTATAACAGCAAATGTTGTATTATGTTGTAAGTTTTGACTTATGTACGTACGTATTGTTACTGCATTTTTAGTCCCGTTGTTTTTGAAAGACCAGAAAAAGAATTATAAAAAAACAAGAGAAATGAGAGTTGCTGAGGGTTTCTTACGTAGTCTACTTTTTAAAATCACTCTTCTAGTTTCTGCTGGTATAGAATAGCTGCTTTTTGCTCAAAAATACAACAAAGCTAAGAATCAGAAAAAAATTCATATACTGTTACTTTTATTTAATTCATTTTTCGTTTACGTGATTTTTTACAGAAAACATCTATCAACTACTGCATTGTTAAAATTCTCTGTTTTGCGCGTTGATTATTTGAATTATCGTCATTTGGACTACTTCTAGAATAGTAAATATCGATCGATTCGACAACATTCAGAGGTAAACATTAGTGTTTTTGTTTCAACTCAACGTTATTTTCTATACAGGATTCTCTCTATTCTTTTCTTCCTACTTTTTTGCATTTATAAATATTATGATTGCTTTGCTCTCTCTCCTTTTTTACACAAAACAAAACTCAAGCTACTTCAAGCTCACTTATTACAAAACAAAAATTTCAAAAACCCTTGATTAACAAAAAAAAACAAAAAAGACGTTTTTAGGAACTTTTTGGAAAACTTCTACTAAAAAATCTCGTTTTTTTTTCGATGAGCTTTTCCCCCTCAAAACTAATATAGACTGATGCCCATGGTGCTTTTAGAAAAACTCCGAGCTCGGTCAGCCAACAATGGACATCTCAAAATAGTATAAAGGGGGACTCTTTGGGTCGGCAGGGGGTCGAACTCCTGAGGAAGAGGACAGCGTCCGCCCCCCCCCCCCCGTTATATCTTCTACTGGTTTAACTAATCGAAAAAAATTATGACAAATTAATACGCTACGAGCACAGTAGACGCCAAAAATGAAAGAAAAAAAAGATGAAAAAAAAACAACTCCTGTAAAGACATCGGTAAGAATTGAAAAAACCATCACCTAGTTTCTTACGATATATAAAGTTTCATTTTCTGGAACTTTATTTGACTTTTCTATGCTCTAAGAAAACATTCTATACTTTTTACTTTTAACTTTTGAAAATTTTGATTATCTATTCTAGATTGCTCTCTCCAGTTAAAACATTTTTAAAACTTAAATCATACAACTTTTCTTACTTCCATATTGATTCGATGTTTTTTTTACCAAACAAGGAATGATTAACACTAGAACTTAAAAAAGTTACAGTTCTTGTTTAAACAACTCATGAGATCTTAAGCACTCCGATAAATCGTCAAAAAATTTTTTACAATAGCACTGCTCACATCATTCATAGTGTTGACTGACTAATCTTAACAATAAGATATTTCAATTTTTAATAGTTAATCATCTTTTTGAAGATCTTCAGTTTTCAATTAAGTTTTCTGATTTCTTGAGATAGTCACTACGAAATGTTATTTTTGAAATTGTATGCGCAAAATACCTTATTCTGATCAAACGATTGAAAAACTGGTAAAAAAGCTGTATCTTTGAAAACTCAATTCTGAATGCTTGACGTCAACCAGAAAACAATATGTCCGTTTTGATTTTTCTTCACCTGAAAAACAATCACCCACGACTTTTTATCACTACTTTAAACTTTTTTCAATCAACTTTTGGCATATTTCAAGGTGTGTGGAAATATTTCACTAAAAATTTGCGTTTTTCAAACCTCCAAGTCTTAAAGTTTATTTTTGTTTATTGGATTTTTTTTCTTAAATTTAGTTTTATTTTATTGAGATTCGGTAACCAAATAGACACAAAAAAAGTTGCTCGCTTGTAGTGTAGCAGATGTTAACGAAGTTAAATTGCATCAGAAGATCGCAGAAATTATTTTTGAAGTCTCCTTTTTGCTACTTCTAAAAGTATAGAAGAAAAAACTGAAATTTTTATCATTTAAAACATTCCAACCCTTTCTTTTTCTTTTGTGGAGAAATTTTTTACAGTAAACAAGGCTGTCAAACTTATGCTGAGCAACTTCTAACCAAAACTGAACTGCATTCGCTTCAATATAAGGTAAATTCAAAAAAATACGAACAAAAATAGATCAAAGCAACGGCAAAAGTAGCAGTCTTGATAAGTTTTGAAGCAGAAAACAACAAAGAAGGAGAACAGAAAACAACAATAAAGAACACACACATTTTTGTAATTGAATCTACAAGAAGAAATTTTTTTAGCCAGGTTCTGTTGAAAACCATAATTAACAATTGTAGTAATCAAACCAAAACTAAAGCTTGTTGCTGCTGTCTTCGGCAAAATGGTCCAAGGTGCATACAGAGAGTAATTTTCCCTCAAATCAGGCCCTAACAGCAGTAGCGTGGTTAACCCGTGAGCAAAAAAGGCATTGAAATAAATTTCTACTAATGTTTCCGTTTCTGATGATAAAGAAAATGGAGCTTAAAGACGTCATGATTTTTGACAATCGGATAAACCCAAATTGAAACTTTTTTAATTCATAAGAGACAACCTGCAACAGTTGGCTGCGGGTCGGATTCGATCTGCACCCTGGAGATGAGTCTCACGCAATAACCACTCAGCCACGGACGCGTAGAGAACAATTTTTATAAAATTTTCTGTGCTACAGATTGTGATTATAGCAAAAAAATTAAAAATTTTGTCGATCGAACATTTTTATTTGCAGGTCGATTTAGAAAAAACAGGTTCGTACAAGAAAGAACACTACGCTTTGCAAGCTCATCAAGCAAAAACTGATTTACTTAGAACAAAATGTGTTCCTTCACAGCAAATTTCGAAATTTCACCTGAAATTCAAGGGGGTAACCAATGGAAGTTCCGGCTCAAACCAAACTAAAATAAAGTTAGTTTTTACGGTTTAAGTTCAAATACAAGGTTTAATCAAAAACAACGCAGAGTTACTGGTATTGGCAGGTGCAATATATCCCAACGAGTAACCTATAGGTGCGTTCCAAAAAAAATAACGCAGAGGGCTATTTATTAGGGCTTATGTCAACAATCGTTAGTTGTATATCGCTGAATAGGTTTAGTTTACACTTTTTATAATGATCACTACGTTACTTGCTTTCTTAATTTTTAACATGGTCATAGAATTATCAACAAAAGTAATTACTTGTTTTTTAGTTCATAATGACGTCAGACAAAAAGACAGTGGGAGAAGTGAATGCAGAAATGAAAAAAATCTTGAAGCCCGACGACTTAAAAGTAAGTTTTTAAAATATTCACTAAGCAGACCCAAAAATAAAAAACTGGGTTTTAAATTTTTTAAATGAAAAAAAGAACTGCAACAAAAAGATCATACTTATTAATAATTCTGGAATTCATAAACCCGATTGGAAATTTTAAGCTTAAGTGGTACAGGAAATTGATTTTTTCCATGGCCCTGATCAAACTACTAGGAAGCATGGTACTTTAGAATTTTACAATTTCATGCAAAGATTGATGCAAAAAAAAGATGGACACGGCACTCAAATGCGTTTTAGTAGTTTCAAAAAATTGATGAATGTCTGAATGCAGTTAATTGCCGTAAATTGTTATAAATTTTTTAAGTTATTTTTAAATTGTTATATATTTGTAAAAAATAATCTTTTTCTGTTTTAAAGCTTGACGAAAAAGGTTTTTTGACTATGATTATGTTGATTTTTTTACATTATTGCAGCGAAAACAGGACATCAACCTAGTCAGTTTTTGAAATAACAAACTCATGAAAAACCCTTCAAAAACCTTAGAAAAATTCAAAAACCTAAATATCAGAAAAAGCCAGTTGCAATAACACGTTTAGAGTTACAAATCAGTGCTGTTTTTGTCAAAACTGGTTTAGCTGAAGAACAAAAAAAAACTTTTTTTCGCGTTTAACTGTTCAAATCAAAAGCTTTGAAAATGATTGAAACTTATTTAAAGTTTGGTATTTTTTATCATTGTGTTTTTTTTAATTTATCATTTTTCACAGTTTTAAAGGATTTTTTTTTCACTTTCGTTTTTGAGTAAATAGCTATCTGTCACTTCAATTCAGATAGATTTTACTATCTGTGTCAATCACTATCTGGGTCTCCAATTCTTTATCATGTTTTTGTTTTTGAGTATCAGGTTTTTGTTTTTGTTTTAGAGGTTATGATGGTAGCTAACAATTAAATTGATACTAAAGAGTATTATCACTTACTTGCTTCAATTTAGGGTGACATGGAGATTATGCTGTCCTCTAATTATGACTGGGCGGCCATGTTGACTCCCGTCCCACTCTCTGTCTTTCTGTTTGGCCAGTTGGTTTTGGTCAGCCTAGATCGAGGCTTTTCCCTGGTGACAGATGATACGGGCAGGTCGCAATTCAAGGTCACAAGTAATCCCCAGTCACTGCAGGAGTCGATGATGCACTTAGCAAATGAAGGCTGGGAGAGTTTCAATTGTGCGAGCAAGAACATGAATGCTATCCGTTTGTTGTCAAAACAAGTGCCAATCTACATAAGGGACACTGTCAAGGTATGCTTTATTATTGCTAATTTGTAAAGTTTCAAGAAAAAGTAATTTCTTGTCCTTCATAAAACTGGTAACAGACAATCCTAATAAAAAACATCGAAAGTTATCAAAAAGGAACCCAAAAAGTATACTCGGACGGAAAAAGATGCAACAATACAGTTTGAAAATTCTAGAAGCAGATGTGAAATACCCACACAAATAAATTTTCCGACTTTCGACGTTTTTCTTTTTCCATTTCCATCTTGATCTTGACATTGATCGTGCTAGTTGGAAAATTTAAAACAATTTGACCAAGTATGATTCTGTATATAACCCTACATGAACCCAAACTGACCTTTCATGACCGTCGCAACTTGCTTTTGTTTTAGTTTTACCACTTTATTTCAAATAATTATGTTCGCATAAATAACTTGTTTCACTTTTGGTTTAGTTCGCATGAATAAAGCGCGATTCCAGTCATTGGTTTAATGAGTAAGCAGCTATTCAAAAAAGCTCATAGAAACTAGAATCAGATATAAACTATATTTATTATTGGTTATAAATTGGATATTTTATCTCTATAAAATATTTAATGTTAACCAATCACGATCCATATGACTAGCAACCTACTTTTTGTAAGTGCTGAAATTACTTGTAATTTCAGCACCAGAGAGATTTGAATTTAACTTAGAAATTAGTTACCTCTCCAAGAGAACTTTAGCAATCGCAACAAGCCAGTATACTCTAGATCTATTGAGCCTAGCAGAGACTAGTTAAACACCCTGAGACTAGTAGATATAAGAGTAAGATTAGGATCGGTATTAGACTAAGAAGTTGCACGAATCTATCCGGCCGAAAATAAGATAGCGTGACGAGCAGACGGTGTACCCTATCCGAAATTACTCTATGAGTTACACCTCGAACCTAACTCATGTGGTGCGACCATGAGTCTCGATCAAGACCTTAAAAACAAATTAGCTTAGAACTAACAGATAGATTAGAATTAGACAAAAACATTTTCGAAAATGTTACATGATAATAATCTAATTGAAATGTCTCTACGACTCAAGAGATCAGAACCGCTATTCCGCACAATACTAGAACTACCAGGCATTGGAAGAAGGCCTCGGACAAAAGACGATCTACGACTACGAAAAAACTTACCATTAAGTTTCATGGTCGTACGGCAAAAGCCAGACCAAACTTTTATATTTAGAATTTTACGAGCCAGAAATTTAGATTTTCATTTGCAAACATAGAAACCTTGAAGAAAAATCGTCACTGATTAATACAGGCGCTAAATCCCATTTACTATTGTACAATAACGATTTAAAAAAACAACTCAAATCGTTTCCTCTAAATCTTCAGTAAAATTTGAAAAGGATATCTTAAAAATTTATTTATTGAAAATAAAAAATATAAAATTGTTGACATGATCATAAATTGTTAGTATATATAAATCATCCTGGCATCCTTAGCTTCATCACCTAAACATAACAGCAATCATTAAACCACTAATATCATCAAAAACTAAATTTTTCTATCAGTTAAATTTAAAGGCTCATCCAAATTTTTACCTCTATTTCATTTCAAATTGTTTAATTTCAAACTAGATCATCAAACTTTCCTTGAATCTCCTTTAAAAAATTAAATTAGGTGCATTTTATACCATAAAAAATTATAACCTGATCATCAAGGCCTATCCTTGGATCAAATAGAACAATTTTGTTCTCCCCCACCCAATAAATAAAGTGTCTAACGACCTCAAACGTCGATTCACTACCCAACCCTTTCAAAGACCCATGACTAATAGAAATTTTTCAATCACACTAACCAATCAAATTAAGCTAGGCAGTGATGAACTTCGGTTAGTTCATCCTTCACATAATCCCCCCTCTTACCTGACCCAGGCTAAATCTTAAATCTTAGTAAGTATTAAAATAGTATCTGACGAACTACCTGTGTTCTAATTATAGCTGAACCTTGTGGATCGCTTTACTATTCTCCAACCCTTGAACACAATAACTAACCCTAAGTAAGATTAAGTAAGTTAACATCTTAACTTAGAATACCCACGAGAAAGTAACAATCTTTCTTCGGAATCGATACATACTGTTCTCTCCAACATTTTATAAAAGACCCAAGTTGGGCTAACCAAAAAATCGTAAGGACTAACAGTCTAAGATATTAAAATCACTAATTACAATCTTGCACCCTTCATCCTAAACCTTATGTCACTGAAAAATTTAGGAAAAAACCAAACAATCGTACTACACAATTGTGAAATAAATAACGAAGCATACGATCTTGTAATTACACCGCACAAACAAACAATCGGATATATTCGCCCAAAACGTCAAATAATAAAAAGAAAAATTTTAAGTAAACAAAGACAAATCATACGAAAAAGACTTTCAAAGCGTAGAATCGCAGTCTCTGAATCAGAAGTCAGCAATTTAGATGCACTCTACAAACTAAAAGAAACAGTAATTAAAAACTACCCAGTTCACGACCAATTTTATTTTTCCGATTCAGAAGCCACATCACACTCATCAAAATAAGGAAAAAGAAGAATAAAAAAGATATACAAAAATAAACCAGTACGTTTATACAATTGGAATCAACCAATCAGACACATCGAGCATTACGCACTGACGGTTATAAAACGAAAAAATGAGCCAAAGTCCAAGTGATGACAGTCCAGACGAAAACTCTGTTTCTCCTTTTATTATAAGTTCACTCACTGAAGATGGAGGACAAAGACAATTTTGTACTAATATAATTGCAAATGTATTCGAACAAGGAGTTAGCCCATGTAAAGCAGAATTCCCAGAAGTGTAAAAATCAAAAGACAAATTATCGATCATTATTTGAAAGGAATATGTAACCTAACACAACCATATGGAATCTACACCATAGAACTCAGCACAGAAAGTAGATATCATAGCAAACACGTTATTCAAACAGATCATGTCGACATAGAATTTTCAAAAGTATTCACAGAATACATTAAAAATATACAGCACCAAAATTCACAACGAGCAAACTCAGTATTCAACAATGATGTTTTTCACTAATATATAGTTATGTATCTATACTAGAAAATATAGGAACTGAAAGCACATCACCGGTTCAAACATCAAGACACACAAATGTCAGAAATGAAATTGCCGCATTCTCAGCATTTTTAAACACAATTCGTGAAAACTTTTCGGGCAATGAAATTTCACCAAATGTCAAACATGATTTACAAAAAATCTTAGCATGGTTCATTATTGATTATTTTGCACAAAAAGTTGATTTAATTGCACAAGCAAGAAAAAATTTCAGACCTCAAAGTTTCAATGAATACACTGTCATTGCAGAACAATCAGACTATATTTTGGTCCCCGAATGGTCTCATCCATTATTTCTGAACATACCAATAGACATCTCAAGTCAAGCAATCAGTACAATTTCTATTCACAAAGACTATGTAAAGGTATTTCCACTTACAATAGATGCAACACCTTTAAACTATAATTCATTTTTACCTGATAGAAGACGAAGAAATAGTTTAAATTCAACTCTTGTACAACAAAAAAACTTAAATGGAACTAGAAATTTTACACAACAAGATTTTCAAACACCATCACATTTTATAAATGAAGAAATAGTTGAAACAATTGTAACAACTACACAGCAAAGTATTTCACCAATACATCCAAACCTTACAACGCCAAAACCAAAGATTTCAATATTACCTCAAGTAACATTGCAATCTACGGTTAAACCCTCGGTTGCTCCAAAATATTCACATATGGATTACCAAACATTTCGACCAATGACGAAACTACCACAAAAACAAAGAATATTCACCAGAATTAATTTTGCAGAACACAATTATAACTACGTAAATAGATCAGAAACATCTTAACCTCCTCGTACAAACCCGCATAATCGTTCATTTTCAGAACGACAAAATTTCCAACAACAAACATCAATTTTCGTAAATTTTAATAATAACCCAAGAAATCCAACAGACCCAAATGAAAACTACCCATTTTTTCAACAGAATAAAAATACTAAAAAGCCATACCAAAACAAACAAAAAACACCTTACTATACACCTAATTGTCTATCATCAGATGATGACGATTTTTATGACCAAAACCATCAACAAAATTTTCAAAACCAAAGACTCCACTATTATTACGTAGATCAACCAGATATTTTTGAACCATATACACGAGAACAACATATGCGACAACCTAGACCAAATCATGCATCTCAAAATAATAATTTTTACCCACAAAACCCAGAAAATACTGATTATTATCAACCAACACAAATGCAAAATGAAATACCACTACCATATTATTTGCAACAACATGAAATAACAACAAATCAACTGACAATTTTTTTTCACAAAAGCCAAATGCCGCAGAATCACTACAGATGACTATGAATCCATACCTCCTGGGTGGATCATCAAAAACATCAAATAAACCACTGATGGTATTCACAGGCACAGACCCAAAATTGGATACATAGACGCACAGCGTTAATCCAAACAACACTTGATGGCGCAGCTCAGAAATGGTTTTCAGTTTTATCAATAGACATAAAAACAGATTAGAAAAGATTTACACAAGAATTTTCAAAAATGTTTGATTCTGAAAGAAATAAACAACATCAAAGAGTTTTATGTAACGAAATTCGTAGACTACCAAATTAAACAATCAAAAAATTGGCAGTTAGAATCGAACAATAGTTCGAAAAGCATATTCATTGAATACTCATGATTATAAAAACACGGAAATGACAGAAATTTTAATGATGACTCTGACACCCCAATTAAGAAAAATAGCTATTAAAAAGGAAGCATCACATCCCTCATCAATTCGAAAACCGGATTTAGATTTCAGAAAACTAGTTGACAATTTAGAACAAGCAGAAATCACAATGAAACTTGAAGAAACAGAAAATCTCAAACTACAAAACTTTAATAGAATCGAAACAAATACTACACATGTAAACAACAT